TTCTCCATTCTCCTCTAGGGATCTTGGGCACGCACGCACACACACCCGGCGTGAGTTTCAAGCCACCGGGTCCGGGACATGAACCGCGGTCAACTACATGGGACTCCAGCAACATAGCCATTACGCTAACTGCTGGTTCCCAGGGGGAGAATTAGGTTTTAAGGTGGAAATCAACTGCGATTTAAAATTACTCAGTGAATCATTTAGGGGGCTGGTGTGTTGGAGGCCAACATACTCTTCACAACAAGTTTTTCTCCTGCTATGGACAAGATTGCTTTTCCTCCCTGATGAAATAGTGCTGGTGGTTAAGGGCCAATATCCATAAAAAGTATGTCTGATATGTTTGAATGTTAGATTCACCCAAGACAGTGATGTACTGGAACCAGCTGATGGCTTGGGAGAGCTGGTTTTGTTCATCTCTTCACAGCTCCATGTTCAGTGGCATGGCTCGAAATTAGTCTTGGGAGTATTTACATCACAGAAATTGGCAGATGCTGGAAACCAGGGCTTTTTCCTCCTGAAGAGTCTGCTGTCAAGCAGTTACCCACACACCACTGCCCACCAGGAAAGGCAGGTGGGAATACAAGATAGACCTAGGGGACCCACAAGTACATACCCACACCTCCTACTCACTTAGTAACTGACTAGAATGGCCGCACAAGACAAATTATTCATTTCCCTTCTCTCTCACTTTGTATTGCTGAGAGCAAATAGCTGAAATTAAGGAGTAAAATATGAATATTATGTGCCTCCACTGGGAAGTAAGAGAGCAGACTCTGGCCTTTGACTTTAGACCCAGCCCTGTGATGGTGATGTGCCTGGGTCCTATGGAGGGGAGGCACCTACACAGGACAGGGGGCTGTGGTGTCAGCTACAGGAGATAGGGCTCACCAGACTGCTCAGCCAGTAGGGACAGCTAGGAGATAAGAGGTTGCTTCAACTTCCCACAGATATTATAGCTGGGCCCTGGGGCCAAGGGGTTGGTTGGAGGAGACCATGTGGTTTCAAAGCTGCACCAGGGCTCGGTTACTGGAGCGGAAGGGGTCACCCACCAGTGCTGAAGCTCCAGTGTGCTGAGTAAATATTTGCTGAGGCAGAGCTAGTCCAGGCTGCCACCTTCTCTTGTTCCTGAGTATATGTGACACCCCAGGGTCTTCCAAGGCAGGGAAAGAACTAGAATGGGCAGCAAAACACTCAGTCTCAGGTAATGAGCCTACACTAGCAAGAGCCTCAGAGAGGGGCCTCCTACCTTATCTCTTCACAGGGCCTCTCCTGCATCGAAGTAGGTAGGGGGCAGAACCAGTGCACCTGGTGATGTCACAAATGACTGACAACTTGCTGAGAGTGTGGTAAGAGCCCAGACCCCAGAGCTCATAATTCTATCCTGACGAATCAGGGCTGGCTTCTCAGGGGCCATCTGAGCTGCTTCTGGAACAGATGGAAGCCATTTGACAGGGGCCAGCAGGGAAGAGGGGCAGGTACACAGATTTGACCCCCCCGAAGGTCAGTTATTTTCCCCATAAGCAATCTCTGCTGGGGCTCTCCCTTTCCTCTGTATCCCACGAGAGGTGGCCTTGAAAATCTGTGGGCAAATTATGGGGGTCGCACAGCCCCAGAATTCTTCCCTGAGCTCCTGGGAGGGTAAAAGGTTGTATTGAGAGTGATGGTCTGTCTTCCCATTGGACAAAAGAGAGATGCTCCAACCATTGCTCCAAAAACCATGAGGGAAAACTTTGTGATGAAGGAAGCCAGCAGTTAGAAGCCTGATCCAAATGGAGTGTGACACACTGAGGTCAGGTAGAAGCCAGGAGCAGAATATCCTCTCCTCCATGTGGTCTGCCCCAAGTTTAGAAAGTGATGTAGATGACATGGCTGATGGGAAGGCTGTTAAGACTAAAATGAAAAGCCCTTGTGAAAGCCAGACCGTGAGACCCATGGAGGACAATGTATCCACCCCCTCAGAGAGGAAAACAGGGCTTACCAGCCTCCAGCTCGCAGTCGGTGAGAGTCCCAGCCCTGCGGGGAGGCCACCAAGGCTTTTCACACCACAGCCTTTGAAGGTCTGTGCTGGGGCTTGAGGCATGGGCCCTGCTGGTGACGCACCAAATGGAGGAGGAGGTGACTGTGGTTGACCAGGGGCTACTTTGGAACCCAGAATCTACTGAGATGCAGGCACAGACCTTGGTTTCTCTGGGGCTAGTGTGAGGGGGCGAAATGCACCCAGTACAGGCCAGCCTCATCCTCAGTGTGACTTCTCAAGGTCTGAAGCCATCTTTATGTGAGAAATGCACTTTGTGGAGAAGGCAACTTGGATCCGGAAAGACCATCAGTCTGGGAGACCAGAGACCTGGCCCTAGGCCTGGCTCTGCTCCTTGCTGACCTTACAGACCTGAGTTTATCAAGTGACCTCTGTAGAACCTCAGTTTCCTGATCTGCGATATGGGCAGGTAATCAGGATATCCGTGTGCATCTCACAGTGACATGCTTTGTAGACAGGTGGGAGGTGGTGATGAGGACTGAGCGACTGGGGAATGTCATGTAAATTCAGCAGGGACAGATTAAGAAATGCGCCCTGTGTATCCACGGGTCAGATGCCTCCATCCTTAGCCCTGTGGAAATTAGCCCAGGACGGGCTCCAGTCTTGTTGCCAAGGGGTCAGGCACAGGACCTGATCCTGCTCATCCCCAGAACAGTCTTCCTCAGGCTTCACAGCCTCGCAAAATAGAGCAATTCCACAGTTGCCTCACACAGAACAAGCAGTTTTTATTGTTGTTGTTTTGCTACTATAGCAAATAAGTTTAATAAGATATACCAACAAATCACATTATAGAGCTTTAAACATCTATCATACAAGCAAAAGATATTAAAAGTTAAGCTAAAGTGCAGTCCCACCAGTGCGTTATAGTTAGCACTTGGCCTCACCCTGATCCTATGGGTGGCTATGTATGTGAGTCGACTCTCTGAGCCCTGGCCACAGGGGGAAGTCACTATCGCCTTGAGAAAGAGGTCTGTTCTGGAGTCCTGTAGTCTTTCTCTAGAGGGGCCAGGATCATGCTGGCTCTCCTGGTCAGCCTCAAGCCATGGACTTGCAAATGTCATGTGAGGATTGAAGAATGGAGACAGAGAGCATAGAGGAGGCAGGAAAGAGGCAACCAAATGGTCTCAGTGTGACCCAACAGCTGGGACCCAGAATGAATGAAGGCCCTGGGTGTGTCCTAACATGGGACTCTCTTTGTTAATGATAGATGATGGTTCCTGACTTCCGGTCACTTCCCCACTAATTTACACCTCTTCTGAACGCATGGTCTGGATTACGACCATGGGTGGTTCCTTGGGTCCCTCATACTCAGGCTCCCCAAACTGGAGCTCATCTCCCTCTCCAGGGACTGTAAAGACTTAACACCCTCCCAGCTCAATAGCTGAGTCCTTCTTGCCTTCACCTCTTAAATCTCATTCTTTGCCAGATGATCCTCCTGTGGTAATCTCTATCCTGTCACCTCCACCCTCTACCGCTGGGCTGATTTAGCTCCTCATCTCTTGCCTGGAGTACTACAGTGTCTCTTGTCCAGCCCTGTGGCCTGTCTCCCAATAGGCCTGCTACCCTGATTAGTCCCCCTAAAGCATCCTTTGATCCTGCCTCACTCCTCTTCAGGGAGCTTTGGTGATTTTTTCCGTTGTCCACAAAATTCATTCCAGATGCCTCCTCCTGGAAAGTAGCACCATCTACAGCCTTGATACCTAGAGTGTGGTCTTCAGACCAGTGGCATCAGCATCAGCCTAGACCTTAAAACAAATGCAGACTCTCGGAGCCCTCAGACCTGCAGGATCAAAACCTACGTTTAACAGGACTGCCAAATGAATCACATGCACATTCAAATTTGACACGCTCTGCTTTTTGGTCTGATGGTCTGAGTCCTCTTTTTTTTTTTTTTTTTAATATTTATTACTTACATTTAATCACCATTCAACTTTACAGTGCACAAAACATGTGGAGTTTTTTTCCCAGAAAAAATACAGTGCATATCAGTCAAGACAAAGACATTATCCTGTACATTATCATCAGCAAATAACTTTTTGTTTTTGTGTCAATTGAAAATGTTGTTTTGGGGCTTATTGTTGTTGTTTTCCAGTTCCCCTCCCTCGCCCTAGGTCTGAGTTTTTTTTAATAGGAGAGGACTTCAAAAAGTTTATGTGAAAAGGAATTACAATACAAGTTTATTGTGCCATAAAATATTTGAATTGCATACATAGTTTTGTTTTTTGTTTTGTTTTGTTTTTGTTTTTTGGGGGGTTTTTTGAAGAGGTTTTTGCTATAGGGTGCTAGCACTCGCCAGACAGACAGAGAGAGACAGAAAGTGAGAAATCACCCCCCAGAGGGGATGGCCACACCACAATCCCTTCTCCTCCATTCTCCTCTCGGAATCCTGGGTACACACACACACATGCGCAGCGTGAGTTTAAGCCACCGAGTCTGGGTCTCGAACCATGGTCGACTATGTGGGAGTTCAGCGACATAGCCATTACACTAACTGCTGGTCCCCATGCATAGTTTTTTCATGATACATATTTTCTATAAATGTTTTAAAGACCCTTTGCAGATGGCTTTTAAAAATGTACTGAAAATTCTGAATTCCCAGCTGTTTCTGGTTTCTCTCCCCAGAGGTGGCCACCTGTATTACTATTTCTGCTTTTAGTTTTTCTGTGGTTATTTCTATTCTCTAGGTAATGCTCAAGGCTATTTCAGGAGTTTTCTTTCTTCTTTTTTTTTTTTTTTTTTTAGAGGTTTTTGCTATAGGGACTGCGCTCGCTGGAAAGACAGAGAGACAGAGAGACAGAAAGCGAGAAGTCACCCCCCCAGGAGGGATGTCCACACTGCAATCCCTTCTCCTCCATTCTCCTCTCAGGATCTTGGGCACACATGCACATGCGCACAGCATGAGTTTAAGCCACGAGGTCGGGGACTCAACCCGCCGTCAACTACATGGGAGTCCAGCGACATAGCCATTACACTAACTGCTGGTCCCCAGGAGTTTTCTTTCTTCTTATTTTTTTATTTGCCAGAGGGCACATGCACTTACCAGAGGGCACATGCATTTGCAAGAGAGAGACCTAGGGAATGGGAGGGAGAAAAGCACCTTCCCAATGGGACGCGGTCATACCTTAATCTCTTCTCCCCACGTTTTCATCCTGTCAAGATTGGGGGCACATATGCACACACATGCACTCAGTGCCAGGGCCAGCATTCAAACCGTCTGGTTAGTCATGTGGCGTCCAAATTCCTTAAACACTAAGCCCCAGAGCTGACCCCGGAATTTTCAAACTGAGAAATTACCTAATGATTTTCTGCTGCTCTAGAGGGAATTAACACATTGCTGAAACTCCTTCTCATTTTGAGGCCAGATGGTGGTGCATTGGTATTTTAAAAAACATGAAGCTCTGGGAGGAAATTCCACATGGAATGTTTCACTGTTCAAGTCCAGGGACCTCCCTGAGTATACAGGGAACACACTTGCCTATGATCCAAGGCCGGCTGAAGCTGGGGCACGATTGAGGTTTCAAGACACTGTTGGGGTGCTGTCTCTCTCTCTCTCCTGTGCCTGTGCTCTATAACAAAATAAATAAATTCACTTTAAAAAAAAAAAAGAAAACAAAGACTCAGGGACTAGTCTCAGGTCTACTTTAAGGAGGCACATTAAGGAGGGACATCTGCAGACCCTGGAGTGTAGGGTGGGGTGGGGCAGATCTTACCAAGGCCCCTCACTGCCCCGTGTCTTCATGATCTAGGCATCCCTCAGGCCGTGGGCTTCTCCGGATCTTCTCATAGACAGTGTGGAGTCCCGGAGTCTTCTTGGGACTCTGTGCAGGTGAGCTTCCCTTCTCCACGGTGTTCTACAATTCAAGTGGGGTTGAGGAGTGGTGTTGGTCAACATCTAAGATTACATACAATCAAGATGGCCCCTTCTTGTTTCTCCGTGTGCTTCTTGTCCTCAACCAGGTAGTTCTGGCTTTCAACCCTAACAGCTCCCCAAAACATAGCTTCAGCACAGAACCTCAGTCTTTGCACTTGCCCTGTCCTCTGCCCAGGGCACTACCCACCTCCCTACAGCACCCAAGACCTCGCATTGCTCACTCTCTCATCTCCTGCAAGGTCTCTCTCTTCTCCATGTCATTCTTCCTGACAGCTTAGTTAAGAATCACCCCTCCCATCATGTTCTCTATCTCCTTCCCCCACCTTGATTGCACCTTAGCACTTATCATCATCTAACACTTCATCTGCTTATATTTTTAATGTATCATTCTCCCCTAACCCACTCCTGCCCTCACCAGAATGGATATTCTACAAGGGCAAGGATTTCAAATGCTTTCCTTGCTTCTGTATCCCAGATTAGAACAATTTTGGGAACACTGTAGGCACTCTGTAAATAGATATTGGGCAAATTTGTTAATCACCTTGACTGCTCTCAGTGCAAAAGTGTTATGAAAAAAATTACAAAGCACCAGGTAAATGTAAAGTATTACTATTATTATTATTGTAATTCACATTTTCTAAAAGAGGAAACTAAGGTCCAAAGAGGTACAGTAGTTTTTCCAAGGTTGAACAAGAAGACTGCGTCAAAGCTGGGCCTTGTACCCATCTCTCCTGACTCTGCTCCTTCGTGTTACCCCCATCATCTTCTGTGTTTGTCCCCTGTGTTTTAGGAGAGTATTCATTTTGTCCAGCAGGTAAGGGACTGAGATGACAGAAAACTTCAGGACAGAGTTGAGTGTCTGGGTTGGATGTCATCTGATTTGTTTCTCTATCCCAATACCACATATTGTTCCCCTCTCATGCTTCTCTGGCTCTGGGTATGTGATTTGGGTCCCAAGGAGCTATTCCTGGAGTCCCCTGAGGCCCAGGTCAGATGAGGACATAATTCAGAGGGATTGTGATGGGAAGCCACAAGGTGATGGACACTGAGGCATCTTGAGACAGTGGACAAAACACTGGATTCAGAGCAAGATGACCCTGTCTGCCTTGTGCCTGTCATGGCTCTCTGGAATAGTCCGTGTTTCTTCAGGGTCCCACTGTCGCCAATCATGGGTGGCTGGAGCCAGATGAGGGGCCTTCCAAGTTCCTGACGTTCTGTGCCTCAATGATCTACAGTTACCTACCCCTGCCACGAGAAGACAAAGGACGAGAGAAGAGAGGACCTGGCCACTGGCTACTCCTAGAAGTCCAGGCAGCAGCTCTGCGTGCCCTCCCTCTACTTACTCTTTAGCCCAGTGGTTCTCAAAGTACGAGGCCAAGAATACCAAGCATCTGCATCACCTGGGAAGGGGGTAGTAGTGGAAATTTCTAGGTCTACCTAGAACCCATCAAATCAGAAACTCTGTGAGTGGGCCCAGCACACTTGGTTTTACCCAATTCTCCAGCTGATTTTCATGAGCATTGCATCATTTGGAGCAATGAAGACCCTACACAAAGGGGTGCCATTAATGGCAGGATCTCAGAATGGTAGGAGGGAGAGAGATAGGATGGAAAGAGGAGAATGTGGGGCTCACCTGATGCACCTCAGACCTTTGGGTCTGCTCTGCCACTATGTATGCCCTGATGGGCCCTACGTTGACTTCCTTTGGGTCTTTCACAGATACCAGGGTTTCACCAGACACCTGTCATTTTTGCTCTTGCCTCTCATGTGATCTGAGTCTCAGACAGCGGGCCCCTCCAGGATTCTTGTCCAACTTCTGCCACTGTCAAGTGTGCCCTTGGAACAGTGGACCCTCACTGAGCCTCAATCACTCCTCCTGGGTGGCAGTGAGATCTATTGAGGTTGTAGATGTGGGAATGTGTCCGAGAGGCATTTCCTTTAGTACCTGATTTCACAGCATACTGTGGCACTCACAAAAGGAAACGCATTGTTGAAGGCAATGATTGGTCCCAGAGCTTGGCAGTGAGTAGAGCATCCCGGACTTCTCAAGCTTCTGGTCTCAGATCATGTGAGTTGCCCTGATTTGATTCCCTTAGACCCACCTGAGGGTGTCCCAGGAGGCTGATCTCTGCGTAGGCAATGTCGTGGCTATTGACTCCACCAGTCTGCACAGTCTGCAGGTCAGTGTAGTCCTCTGTGGGAAGGGCCTGAGGAGCAGCTTCTGAGCCCACTGCTGCTGGCTGAAGGGTGGCCTCACCTGTAACAGCAGACATCAGTGAGAGTATGTGGAATTGAGGTTACCACCTGCAGATCTTGCACAAGGGCAGCCATTGCTCCCTGGGCTGTAGACAGATCTCATGCCCCTGCTTGTTCGTACCTCCCACCACCCTTTCTAGTCATTCACACCTCCTACCCTCAGCATTGCTCCATACCACCCTTCTGCCAAGGACAATCACAGAACAGGTCAACAAGCCTCTATCTGCCCCTTACCCTCCACTCTGCCCTCTCCCCCTGGAACTTCCTCCATCCACTGCCCCTCCCCCTCTAGTCTCACCACTACCCACCTCTCTTTATCTTCTTTGTCTTCCAGATCCACAGTCCAACCCCCAGGGTCATCAGAACTAGGACAAGGATGATGACTCTAGGCCATTTACTCTGATGAGAATCTGAGATCAAAGAGAACATAGTAACATACCAGGCATATTTCCCAAATCCCCACATGATGGAGAATGGAGAAGAAATTGCAATGTGACCATACCCCATGGGGTCCTTCCCCTTCTCTCTCTGTCCCTCTCTAGTGAGTTCATGTGCCCTCTGGCAATTTTTTTTTTTTTTTAAAGAGAGAGGACATGGTAACAGCTCTGCCTCAGTGGGGACTAGTGGGTAGGGGGCAAGTGGGACCACCCTGGCACAGGGCCTGTCACCCAAGTGTGTAACCTCACTGCAACTCAGACCAACTCCTCCTTTCCAGTCTCTCTGAACACTTCCAACTGCCACTTTAACATTTCCTCTGCCAGGCTTTCAGCCCCGTTTCTGCACAGGAACCTCATGTGCTCCCACTGACTGGCAGAGCACTGTTCATCTTCTCAATCTGCTTCTCTTCTTACCTCTCAGACCCTCAGAAGGGAATTATCTTCCAAGAGGGAGAGGGAATGGAATGATATGAGGTCTTTAGATCTTATAGCTTATTGCTCTGTGTCTGAGATGTCTTTCTTCTATTGCCACAAGAAAACTATTCACCCTTCAAGATCCAAACCAGGGTTCCCTTCCCTGTAATGCCCTCCCAACTCCTAAAACAATTACTCAGTTTCTTTATTTTTATTTTTTTTCTTGAACCACACTTTGTATTTGCTTCAACTTCAGCATTTAATATCTGGCTTTGTATTTAGAAATGTACTCCTCCTATTCTAATTATTTATTGTCTAACAGTTATTGACATATTATGTGTCATATACTGTGCTAATAGCTTTAGATAGATTTTCTCTCCTAACGCACATGACAACTCTATTATGGTTTAAATAATGGCTGTCCCCCAGAGTTTTATGTTTTAAAGTTGGTGTTGGGAGATGCTAAGGCCTAGTGATTGGTGATTAATCGTGGTGATTGGATCACAGTGACTGCATCATGGAGGCAGCTCTCATGACTCCATTAATGATATCCTCTGAGCCCCAGTGACCTCTAGTTCCTGTGTGAAGAGGCTAGCTCTCATGAGTGATGGACATTTAAAAGCAGAGAGCTGTCATCAGCTTGCTCTCTCTCTCTCTCCATGCTCCCGCCATCATGCCTGCTTCTGTCACCCATGCTACAGGCCAACCCAGTGTCAGTTAATGCTGTTAGACGTTCTAGCCACCAGAATTGTAAGTCAGTAAACCTTTGTTTCTCCATAAATCACACAGTTTTGGATATTTCTGATAGCAACCCAATAGAAAATGAAGGCAAACTCTATGAGATAAGCGAATTCTTGCCCATCTTACAGAGAAAAAGGCTCAAAGACTAACAGGAAGTATCTTGTCCACAGTCTCACACCAATACGTGGTGATTCCCTCACTGCGCTAGAAGTTCTTGAGGCAGAGGCTTGTCTTATTTTCCACTCTGCCAACCACCTAATTCACAGTAGGAACCCGGCACAAGTTGTTATTTTTGTTTTGTTTTATATTTTTTTTTTGTAGAGGTTTTTGCTATAGGGTGCGTGTGCTCAACAGAAAGACAGAGAGAGACAGAGCGACAGAAAATGAGAAATCACCCCCCAGGGGTGATGGCCACGCCGCAATCCCTTCTCCTCCATTCTCCTCTCGGAATCTTGGGCATGCACTCACACGCGCCCGGCGTGAATTTAAGCCACCAGGTACAGAACTTGAACCGCGGTTGACTACATGGGAGTTCAGCGACATAGCCATTACGCTAACTGCTGGTCCCAGCAAGTTTTTAGGCTGAATTCTGAGTGGAGGAATGAGTAAAAACATGAGGAAGAGACTGTTGAGATGTGAATAAACAGAACTCAGGAGGACAAAGCTGGGACAGGCAACTGAACTAATGATTCCACCTCCTTTTATCCATCAATTGGTCCTGCTGGGATTTGATATTTTATGAGACCAAAGGGCTTTAGAATATGGCTTCTGTGCAAGAGATCCCACCCTGTTACCAATGCAGTATAGCCTTTGACATAGTCTAGGTAACCCTTCTGCTGACAGGGAAGGTGTAATTGACAGTAGTGACCACAGGAACTCACATGCTCAGAGGAGGCTGACAGAGGCTTACATACTCAGGGGTGGTAGCCATACTCGGAAAGGGAATGTCTAGCAAGAAAACAAACAAAAAGAAAACAGGCATCTATTGATCTAAATGAGCCACGCATGTCTGGCGCACAGAGGTTTTTGCCATAGGGTGCGTGTGCTCAACAGAAAGACAGAGAGAGACAGAGAGACAGAAAATGAGAAATCACCCCTCAGGGGTGATGGCCACGCCGCAATCCCTTCTCCTCCATTCTCCTCTCAGAATCTTGGGCACGCACTCACACGCGCCCGGCGTGAATTTAAGCCACCAGGTACAGAACTTGAACCGCGGTTGACTACATGGGAGTTCAGCGACATAGCCATTACGCTAACTGCTGGTCCCAGCAAGTTTTTAGGCTGAATTCTGAGTGGAGGAATGAGTAAAAACATGAGGAAGAGACTGTTGAGATGTGAATAAACAGAACTCAGGAGGACAAAGCTGGGACAGGCAACTGAACTAATGATTCCACCTCCTTTTATCCATCAATTGGTCCTGCTGGGATTTGATATTTTATGAGACCAAAGGGCTTTAGAATATGGCTTCTGTGCAAGAGATCCCACCCTGTTACCAATGCAGTATAGCCTTTGACATAGTCTAGGTAACCCTTCTGCTGACAGGGAAGGTGTAATTGACAGTAGTGACCACAGGAACTCACATGCTCAGAGGAGGCTGACAGAGGCTTACATACTCAGGGGTGGTAGCCATACTCGGAAAGGGAATGTCTAGCAAGAAAACAAACAAAAAGAAAACAGGCATCTATTGATCTAAATGAGCCACGCATGTCTGGCGCACCCAGGAAGGGAGCCTGAGGCTGGAGGACGCAAGCATTTCCCAATTAGGAGTGTGCCCTGAGGGTTCATCAGTCCTCATTAGTCCTCACCTCTCCTTCTTGGATTCTGAGCACTAATTCAACCTCCCAGGCTCCTTGATGCTGGGAACAGGAGTGCCCATGTGCCAGTCCCACATTCACATTCTGGGCAATTCAGCACTCTCCATTAGCCCAACTTCTGAACTTGAGGGCTTGAAGGTTGTAATAAGGTGGGGACCATTCAGTTGCACCAGATGGACAGCTTTACAATGGTCCTCGGTTCCATCACTTTCCTGAGTTACACTAGTCTTGCACACCCCAGCCCCAACCCTGGCCCAGTTCCCTGCCATCCCATTTTCTTCACCCTTCCTAGTAGACTACACTCACCCCTCAATAGACAGATGGTCTCCAGGTCTAAGGTTGTATTCTTCTGATCCACAGGGTTGCTAGCCAGACAGGTGAGGTAGCCATTCAGCTGGCTCATGGGCAGGTTTAAGCTTAGACTCCCAGAGTCGAGGGCTGGCACCAGTGCCTCTCTCTGGCTCAGCTCCATGGAGAGACCCTTGCTCAGCCAGGTCACAGTCGAGTTGTCTGTGGCCCCTGGAGTCTCACACTCCAGACTGACATTGCACCAGCCTGACGTGACGGATGACGAATGAATCATAATTTCAGGCTGGGTAATGGGCTCTTGAGTAAGAGAGGAAAAAAAGAAATGAATCTTCAAGATTAGAGGCCCGCTTGAGCATATCAACCACTCACTTCTTTGTGATGCAGCAATGGGTACCCATTTTCTAAATGGGCCTGAGGGAAGAACCTACTGCCCCTGGCCTATAGTTCTGACTTGAATCCCAGGGTCAGACGGCAAGGCCCTTCTTTCTCAGAGAGGGAACCTGGAGCACCTCGCGGTCTAGCCACACTGAAGAGCAGGGTAAGGATTATTTCTAGGACTCATCCCAGAATGCGCTGGCCCTTTGCCACTCCCTCATGACTTCTCAGTTCCTTTAGATCTTTTTTTTTTTTTTTTGAGAGAGAGGTTTTTTTTTGCTATAGGGCACATGCATTCGCCAGAAAGACAAAGAGAGACAGAGAGACATAAAGCAAACCCTCCCCCACCCCGGGGTGGGGGGAATAGCCACACCACAATCCCTTCTCTTCCACTCTCCTCTAGGGATCTTGGGCTCGCAAGCACACACACCCAGCATGAGTTTAAGCCACCGGGTCCAGGACTCAAACTGCAGTAGACTACATGGGAGTCCAGCGACATAGCCATTACACTAACATTTTTGATGACTTCTGATGAAATAGATTTGAACCTAGAATTTATATTCTTCCCATCTAGCAATAAGGTGGAAGGGCAGAACAAAGACACTTTAGGACATGGAAATGCTTAGGAAGTTAACTACCTCTCTAAAACAGACTCAATGGGGAAAAAAAAAAAAAAGAATTCAAGAACAAGAAAAAGGGGCCAGCAGGAGGTGAAGTGGTTAAGGTGCTGAATACCACATGACTGACTGTGGTTTAGGTCCCAGACTTAGCAGCTTGAAAATCATGCCAGATGCGGATGCATACATGTGCAAAATCCCAAGAGGAGAATGAAGAAGAAGGAATTGCAGCATGGTCATCCTCTAGGGGATGATTTCTTACTTTCCCTCTCTGTGTCTCTCTCTCTGGTGAGCTCATGCACATTATTGCAAGAATCTAAAAAAAAAAGATCAGGAAGAAACAAGATACAGGAGCAATCAAAGAAACCAGTAAAATTTATGGTTAAATCTAGATATTAAATACTCATTAATTATATAATGATTATTAAATAATCATTATATATGATTACCATTACAGAGACAGAGAGATAACACTATGGAAAGGTCAAGAATGCAATGGAAAAATATATTCTTTGTTTAGAGGAAGTTAAACAGATTATTTTAAATGATAAAATAAAATATTAAGTTTAATAACTAGTGGGATAAAAGTATATGTTGTATAACTTTCCAAACTACTAGAGAGGCTGGATAAAAGAAAACTCTATTAGTAAACCAAAAGACAAAAAAAAAAAGAAAAAAAAAGAAAATACGGAAAACAGAAAACATTAAATAAGGTGTCAGGAGAAGCTTCAGACATGACAGAAACTGAAATACATTTGAATGCATTACATATCCCTATTAAAAGATAAAACTCTCAGGTTGGGACCAGCAGTTAGCGTAATGGCTATGTCGCTGGACTCCCATGTAGTCGACCGCAGTTCGAGTCCCAGACCCGGTGGCTTAAACTCATGCCAGGCACATGTATGTGCATGCCCATGATTCTGAGAGGAGAATGGAGGAGAAGGGATTGCGACGTAGCCATCCCCCTCTGGGAAGGGTGATTCCTCACTCTCTGTCTCTCTGGAGAGCCCACATGCCCTATAACAAAAACCTCTTCAAAACAAACAAACAAAAAACCTCTCAGGTTAAGTAAGTCTGGTATGTGTTATTTATATTATCTAATAACACAGGAAGATTAAAAAGAAAGCAGTGGACAAAAATAGACTAGGAAAATGTCAATAAAATTATTGCAACTATGGCAACAATCACTAGAGAACAAATAAAATTTAAGAGTGGTGGGCCTACAGTTGGCATAATGGTTGAGGAGCTGGATTCCCACATGGCTGACCATGGTTCATAATCCCAGACCTGGCATCTTGAAAATCAAACAAATAAAAAAATTTTTTAATGTTTTTTAATAAAAACCGAGCCAAAGAGAGATACTTTAGATTAATATGTACCTAACATTTACCTAACAACATGGTTTAGAAATAAATTTTAAAAAGCAAAACAAAACAATAACAAAAAACTGGGAATTCAAGAACAAATTCTCAAGTCCACTATTACTAAGGTGGGCCGTTTCACTGTGGTGGACACACCTAAACAGCCTTCTTCTCCATTCTCCTCTTGGGATTTTGCACATGTATGCATCTGCACCTGGCATGATTTTCAAGCTGCTAGGTATAGGACCTGAGCCACAGTCAGTCATGTGGTATCCAGTACCTTAACCACCTCGCCACCTGTTGCCCCTTTTCCCTGTTCTTGAATTCATTTTTTTCCCCCTGCACATTCTTGAGTCTCTTTTAGAGAAGGGAAGATAAACTGCATGGGCAAAAGCAGACGTTATGGCTGGTGGCCCTCTAACAGGAAGCTCCCTCCATACTCATCCCAGTCTTCAGCCTGTGCTCGCCTTCATCTACTGTGGGTTCCAGGAAGCTAAATCCTCAGTTTCTCAGTCTTCCTTTAAGTTGCAGTTCTGACCAGTTCCCCAGATTCCTGGGAATCTGCTAGGTGGGAAGAAATGTCTTCACTCCCAAGAAGAAAAGTATTAAAACAAGACTTTCCCCCTGATCCTTTTCTCTTTTGCTGCCTTTCCTGTGTGTCCAATATCCCAGGAGGAGAATGGAGAAGGGATTGTGGTGTGCCCATTTCTCCTGGTGGGTGATTTCTCATTTTCCTTCTCACTCTCTCTGTCTGTCTCTCTCTGGAAAACACACATGCCCTAAGGCAAAACCTCTAAAAAAAAAGTTGTAAACTTTTAAAAATAAGCATTGTGTTGAATTTGACCCATGGCCATGATTTGCCAACCACTGATCTCAGTAGTTATTAAAAATATAGATATTTGGGCCCTTCCCAAGACTTACTGAATATGTGTATGGAGAAAATAATATTTTTAAGTAGTTTCTTTTTTTTTTTTTTTTGGGGAGATTTTTGCTATAGGGCGGGTGGCCACGCTGCAATCCCTTCTCCATTCTTCTCTCAGGATCTTAGGCATGCACACACATGTGCCCGGCATGAGTTTAAGCCACCAGGTCCACGACTTGAACCTCAGTCGACTACATAGGAGTCCAGCGACATAGCCATTACACCAAGTGCTGGTCCCATTTCTTTAAAGGACCTTATTTAACTAATAGGTAATAATATCAATACAAAGCCAAATGGAATGTTTATTACAAAGTGTTCTAAAGCACCAGTAGGTGCTTAGAAAGCTTATGCTCTTGGGAATTTTAAGTATTCTCTCAGAAATTGGCTGATTTAAATTCTTATTGTGTGCTCTTTTCAGTAAAAGAACTATTAGCCAGGCTTGAATAAGAAGCCTAGAGAAAATAGCTGTTTCTGTAGATTTAAGCTTTGGTTTTTGGGGACCAGCAGGTGGCGTATTGGTTAAGGCACTGGACTCCCATATGGCCAACAGAGGTTCGAGTGCCAGACTCAGATTTGAGCCTCACACTGGGCATGGGTGCATATGTGCATAAAATCCCAAGTGGAGACTGGAGGAAAAGATTTTGTGGCATGACCATCCCCCCTGGGGGTTGATTTTTCATTTTCTATCTCTCTTTCTCTGTCTCTCCAGTGAGCACCCATGCCCTATAGCAAAAATCTCTCTTAGAAAAATTACTTATTAAAAAGTACTTAACAAGAACTACTTGCTGAATGCTTACTGGGCACTGTCTGAGACACCCTGGTGGGTGCCAAAGAGGGCAGGACACGAACCCTGCTCTGAAGTGCAGAGTAGACCACACACAAGTAACTCCAGTGCAAGGCAGAGGAAAACAAGATCCATAAAATACTTAGAAAAAAAAAAGAATTTTAAGACTTTGTAAAGGAAAGGCTGATTTGATAGGGATCAGAAAAGTATTAATTTAGGACATGGAAGTTCTGAAAGCCAAGCAGTAGGGAGAAAGAGAAGCTATATACAAGGAATATATCCTTTGTGGAGGGCAATTTGGAAGAAGAAGCAGTAAGGAAGAAATAGAACCTATCTACAAGGAATATGCCCTCTATGGAGGGCAATTTGGAAGAGGAAGAGACCAGAAGTAGGGAGACTGCTGTGGTAATCCAAGCAAAGGTGATGGGAGACTCCAGAGGCAGAGAGGAGGAGCAGGGTGGTAGGAGGACACTCTGACTCAGCTCACTCTTCTCCCTTTTATCTCACTGTCTCCACTGCACAGGCTGCCCGAGGCTCTCTGCTTCGTGGGGGAGGATGCTGACCTCTTCACTGGCCTGGGAGATCCAGAGGATAGTAGCTGGGTCACCATCTGCATCTTCTTGTGTCTAGGACCAAGTTTTATCCAGAGAACTCCCCACTGGACTTCAGGGCAATTTGCCTAAAACCATTTTACCTAACAACCAGTCCTATCAGTCAATCTCCTTAGTGTTTTTTTCCTCATTTTTCTTGATGTCCAGTCTTATTACTGTGTTTTTGCCAACTCTTTTGTATCATTTAAGGTTTTTTTTAAATCGGTGTTTGAACAACCGATAAAGAACAGTTTTAGGGACCAGGAGGTGATGTAATGTTTATTTCACTGAACTCTCATGTAGTTGACCACAGTTGGAGTCCCAGACCAAGCGACTTAAAACTTACAACAGGTTAATGTGCATGTGTGCACAAAATCCTGAGAGGAAAATGGAATAGAAAGGATTGCAGCATGGTCATCACCGGGGAGTGATTTCTCACTATCTGTCTCTCTCTCTCTCCACAAACACATGTGCACTGTAGCAAAAAAAAAAAAAAAAATCTCTCTTAAAAAAAAAAAAAGAAAAAAAAGAACAGTTCTAATATAATTTTATATTTCTAATAATAATTTGAAGTATTTTATGTTGGAAGAAATTGTTAACCCATAGAGTGGCTTTTATGTGTTTTTTATACTTTTTATACCTGTTTCACGTGCTTTATATCTTTTCAGAAATGTTAGCTAGTTTTTATTAAAATGTAACTTTTAAAATTTAGGATTTTTTAAATTTTTAGGGCAGCAGAAGAAATGCAAAAACTCCTTATAAAAAGAGGTAGTATGGGGCCAGCAGGTGGTATGGAGGTTAAGGTCATTGATCCCACCTAGCCAGCTGTGCAGTTTGCCCAAGACCTGGCTATTTGAAAATCATTCTAAGTTATGTGCACACATGCTTAAAATCCCGAGAGGAGAATGAAAGTGAAGGGACTCCAGCGTAGCCATCTCCCCTGAGGGGTGATTTATCACTTTCCCTCTCTATGTGTCTCTCTGGCTCTGGCAAATGCATTCACCTTACAGCAAAAACTAAAAAAAGAAAAGAGAGAGAGAGAAGTAGTGGGGATTGTTACCCAAGTTTAGGCCACCTTACATTAGGCAAAGTCATTGTTGGGATGCCTGGCTGGGGCATGGTTCCACACCTTACCATATACACAGAGTCTAAAGGTCTGTTCCTGAGAGTCTCCTGAGTGGAATTTGATTGTTGCTGCATACAGCCCACTCATTTCCACAGTGAGGTTCCTGATGCTCAAGAAAGCTGTTTCTGTCAGGTTGAATCGATGCTTATATTTGTCTTCAAGGTTATACCAATCAGGTTTGGGGGTGCTGGGCTTCCAGGTCACCAGAAACTGCTTTTTCTTGCCAGAAAGCTTATTCCACTCAATCTCTCGGATGAGAGGGTCCAAGGAGGAGTTGAATTCCAGCTGGACAGATTCCTGCACGATCTTGTTCACTGTGCAGGAAGAGATGGAATCTTCGACAGTCAGTAAACCTGGTAAAGAAAGAGCTGAGATTCGAGGAGGAAAGGAGTGGAGCAGACATTATGTCGTAGGTGAGAGGTCTTCAAAAACATTGTGGAAAAATGGGGTTAAAGTTGGAGTACATTTGGGTGAAAAAAAAAAAAAAAACTTTGGAATCCATGCATAGTTTTCCATAATATGTATTCTCTCTTAACTTTTTTTTTTTAAGGTTTTGTCATAGGGCACGTGTGCTTGCTAGAGAGAGACAAAGAAAGATAGAAAGAGGAAAGGTAAGAAATCACCCTGCCCCTGCCCCTAGGGGATATGGCCATGCTGCAATCCCTTTTCTTCCATTCTCCTCTTGGGATTTTGGACACACACACACACACACATATATACCCCACATAACTTTAAGGACACTAGGTTCAGGACTCAAACCATGAGTGGCCATGTGGGAATCCAGAATCTTAATCATTACATGACCTGATGGTTCCTTTCCATGAACTTTTGAAGACCCTTCATATCATATAAAAGTGATGTTTCCAAGAAGAGAATTATCTCCATTTTTACAGACAGGAAAGCAAAGTTGCACATGATTATGCATGGGTCTTGTCTCAAACCTGGTAGCTGGGATTTAAGCACATATATGTTACCCTCCCAGATGCCTGTTCTTGGTGCTTGCACCCAACTTGGCCCTTAGTCTAATTCCAGAGAAAAGAAACTGTTTATACTATCATTGATAAATAATAAACCAATTTTCCCATTTGTTTGTGCAGGCCAGAAGTAAATAATTTTACCTTTCCTGTTGCCAATGTTCTTTCTTTCCTCAACTGCAATGTGCCTTCTGGTCCATCACTCTGAAATTGTTAAGTCACCAAAATCCCCTAATAGTCAAATCAAATTGTCCCTGCTTGTCCTAATGATATTTGGTATGTGCCTAATTCTCTATCTCAAAACTCTACTTGGTACAAATTTTTATCCCTCTGGGCTCTCAATCTGCTTTCATTCAATAAATATTTAATTAGCCAAGCACTGCTGTAGTTGCTGGGGAACAGAGGTGACCAAGCAGACCAGGCCTCTGCTCATTTCTGTTCTAATGAGTGAGACAGCTGGAAAAGACAAGTAAAAACAAAAATGAGTTCAGATCACTGTAAATACCATGAAGAAAATTGAAAAAAATGTGACACAGATTCTTATCTGTTGCCTGGATTGAAACGTCCTTCTTTTATTTGTAGAATTTTCTACCTTATAAGTCAGAGCCCACCTCCCACTATAGAAGCTCATGGGCTAGGCTCCTCCAGTCAGATGCAACTATTCCCAAACTTCCTAACACAAGATAATGACATGAAGAGAGGAGGACCACAGACCTGAACTACTGATGCTGGCAGTCATGGAAGCAGCTACACTCAGTCACCTGAGGTAATGGGGGAACTGCTGTAAATCAGTGCCGTTGGGGTGTGAGCTATAAATCTGTGCCAGCAACGATAGAGCAGCATCTACTGGACCAGATCCCGTGGTATGCTTGGGATATTGTTCCTGGATGAGTAGCCTCAAAACTTTGTCATCTCAAAGGTCCATGGACACCTGCTCTTCTCTAATATATCAATATATAAAATTCAATTAGTCTTGATTTCTGTTGCTTGTAGCCAAGAACCCTAATTGACACTTAGGATAATGTAGTGGTGGTTTGGTCGAGTGTGCATGGTTCCTCAGAAAGAACATTACCTGAGGATCGATTAAGCTGTGTTCTGAATTATGACAAGGAGGGTTCCAGGGAGAGAAAAGAGCCTGTGCAGAGTTTCTGCTGCAGGAATAAGTTTGGTGCCTATGTAAGACAGACAGAAAAGCCATAGCAGAAGCCAAATGAGTGAAGAAGGCTTTGTAGTGAAAAGAAGTTTTGGATTTACTCTGCAACAGGAGGCCACCACATGGTATACATTAATCATCACTTCAGAATAGATACTGTGTGGAGAATGGTTTATAGGAGGGAAAAGGTGAGAAATGGGATTCCAATTAGGAGGCTCTTTCAAGAGAGAAAGAGAAGATGGTGGCAGGGAAAGAAGAGATGGGGAGGAACTGAAGAAAAAAATGTAAACAGTTGTCAGGGATTACTGATAGACTGAATGTCAGGGGGAAAAAATTGAGTATGATGAACTAGGTTTTTTTGCTTAAGAAAACTGGTAGATAGTAGTGATATTTATTGAGCTGGTAAAGCCTGAGGAAGAAGCAGGTTTGGAGTAAGAGGAGTCAAATAACAGGAATTCAGTTTTTAGATATGTTAACTCAGGCCTCCAAGAAGAGATGCTGAATAGGAAACAGGGTGAAAGTCTGGGCTCAGGAGAAAGGTCAGGGCTGGAGATGTGGCTATCAACACAATTGTGTTAGTTAACGCTAAGGGATTACCCCACGCCACCTGGGAGAGCTTATAGCTGGAGAAGAAAAGAGGGCATGCACTAACCACCAGAGGATTTGGTCCATTAAGAGAGACAGACAGAGGGAACCAGCAGTTAGCGTAATGGCTATGTCGCTGGACTCCCACGTAGTCGACCGCGGTTCGCGCCTCGGACCCGGTGGCTTAAATCTCACGCCGGGCACGTGTGCGTGCGTGCCCAAGATCCCGAGAGGAGAATGGAGGAGAAGGGATTGCGGAGTGACCATCCCCCCTGGGGGGTGATTTCTCGCTTTCTGTCTCTATGTCTCTCTCTGTCTGTCTGGTGAGCGCATGCGCCCTATAGCGAAAAAAAAACTCTCAAAAAAAAAAAAGAGAGAGAGAGACAGACAGAGACTGAACTTTGAAATATTAGGAAGAAAAGTATAATCCATCAGATGATCAGAAATCACTTCAGAGGCCCAAGAAATATGAGAAACCAAGAAAATACCTTTCCCCCAAGGGAAAAGAATAACTCCTCTTCATCCACAGATAGTACAAGGGAACTCACAGGAATATCTGATAAAGAATTTAGAATATTGATCTGGGACTTTAAAGGGAACTCCCATCCCACTCCACCCGCGAACCGGATCGAGCAGGCCAAGAGCTCCGGACACCAGGCAGACTGAGGCTGCAAGCCCGACCAACCTGGTCCTGTCATTCATCCTCTGGCCCTTTCCCACTAGCCTTTGGACTCTCTGAACTTTGGTGATTTGAATAGCGCATGGCGCACAAAGCGTGCCATGCAATTTTCTTTTTTCGATTTGTTTTTCTTTGTTCTTGAGGTGTTGCTTATTAGGTCAGTTTGAGGCTCACCAGTCCTTAGAAACAGGGAGGACTTTAGGCCATCCAGGACTAGTGGCAACAGTTAATGATAGTTGTGAGCAATAGGTAGGCCAACCATAAGAGAAATCATCAATTTTCTAATCCTGTACAACTTTAACATTCAGTTACCTTACATAAGTTAGGAAGCAACATATAGATTACCTAATGACTAGGGACAATCGCAGAGGCTCAAGAAATATGAGCAACCAACAAAAGGCCTCTTCCTCAAAGGAAATCATCAAGCCTACATCACCCACAGTCAATATAATGGACATTGTGGACATGTCTGATAAGGAATTCAGAATATTTGTAGTGACCAAACTAACTGAAATGGAAGAAAAAAGAGACAAGGAGCTCCAGGAGATGAGGAAGTCCTTTCATGACTTGAAAGAAGAAATGGATACCTTAAACAAGAACCAGATGGAACTTCTAGGGTTGAAGAATGTGATACAGGAAATCAAAACCTCCCTTGAA